CACAAGTCCGATGAAAAATGAACAAAAATTTATTATTATCACAACAAATATGCTTAAATTTCTTAAAATATTCATGCAGTATTACAATATATCACAGTAGTTATCTTTTAACCACTCAAACGTTCAAGAGAATTTAACTCAAAACAGCTAAAGAAAGCTAATCCGCGAATTCGCTACAGTCAACAAGAGCAGTTTTCTAAACAAACTCTTAAAACAACAACAAACTAAGTAACTACTATGAACTGAGAGGTTTTCCTCCTTTTATAAGATTTTAAAATCGCGCACGAGAATTTTCTAGTACTTTCTCGAAATCAAAAAGAGATATTTATTAAATGTTACATGCACGCGCTCTTGTATTTTCAATTTTCCGGCTAAGCTTTCTTTTAATATTTGTCACGCGCTGCACTGCGCGGGAAATAAAACCATTTAATTTACAATTCAACTAACATAAGCTATTTAAATACGAAATCCGTAACAATATGACTGTTACTTTCAAATATAAATGTTATTAAATACATCCAAATCTTTATGATTCCAATGGCAAAACATGTATTTTTGTGGATTAAACAATGTTCATGATTCTTGCTAAAGGATCCAAAATTTGCAAAATACTATGCAGTTTGGATCTAAGCTAAGGAAAATAAACATAAGTAAAGCTCCGTATAGCTATTTCAAGTCGTATGGCTTTCAAAGTATCAATAAAAAGTGCATGCAAGTAGTTTAAATATTCTAATTATTATGCCATTGCCTGTAAACAGATAAATCCCAAAGTTTCCAGCCTGATATACTTCTAAGAGAAGTACAGGAAATTTTAATAGTTTATTTTTCAATATGGTGCCCTTGTACCTGACACACTTTTTACATAAGCAATTCTGTGCCCTCAAAAATTAATGTGAAAGTTTATTCTCAAAATTTGTCATCATAACATCTTTTTTCATGCCATCATCATTAAATCTCTTTTCACAAACGTCAGATTTAAATTTGGAAAACACATAATACTCACTTAAAGAAATCTGAGCTGTAAGGGTGGGGAGAGTGAAGCTCCTTAAGTGCATATTGCTGTTTTTGAACTGCACTGACTCATTGTTGTTTTTAAATTGCTGAAAGAAGCCAGAGTACCCAGCTTTCAGAGACATTTGCAAGGACTTGTTTATGTGAAGTTGTTAATGTAGAATGTATAAAACAGTTATTTTTAGGTAGATCAAATCTTGCTACCATCTAGTTGACTTTTAATCACCTTTCCCTAAATATTTCCACCTGCACACGAGCTCTATTTTCTAATGTCAATTGCTCCAATGCCTGATTTTCACAAGAATCATCTTATGGATTTTTGGTCCATTTGAAATTATTTTACCCGTTCTTTTACTGCAGAACAGAAAAGAGACAAATGGCCATATACATGAGGTATGGCAATGTTTTATTTCTCTGGGATTGAGACCCTGAATCAATATTTTATTCACAGAACAGTACTTAGTTTTAAGCATTTTCAAACAAATGACTTCATTCAGTAAAAAGTTAAAAAAGAAAAAACTTTCCACTAAAGAAGCTTTAAAATTTATTCATTTAGTACTGCTACATGTCTGCAAGAGATATTTTTGTCAAACAATTTTTTATATGTAAACTTTTGGATTTACCTGCTTATTAGATTTAATCCCACTTTGTTTATATTTGCATTGGACACGGGGGAGATATTCTTGTGTAAATGCCACATCTCCCTTCTAATGAGTCTAATTAATATTTTTATTGCTTATTTTATTACAGTCAAAAGTCGTTAATTCGGACTCGTCCGGACTTCGGCGATTCCGGATTATCGATTTTTCCGGATTATAGATCATCAGTTTAAATCTGGTAAGATGGCATGCAAAAATTACAAAATTAAAAATATGAAACCGTAATTTATGAAATAAAGAACAATATGATCTAAAGGGTATCAAAATTTACAAAAAGAAAAAGCTTAATATTTATTTGTATCTTTATTAAATTTCCTCATGTAAGTTGCTTGTTTCATGTGATAATACTTTCTTTAATTCTATAAACAGACATAATTCTTGTTTAATTACAAAGTCCCCTGTTCAAGTCCTATAATTGCTGTGTGAGAATACCGACTAATTTGTCAATCGAAATGTTTTCGTTTTCAATACCTCTGGGTCACTTTCTTCACTATCAGAAGCGAATTATAATGACGAGGAACTTGATTAAATCATATCAAAGAGGGAGTACATCGAGATGAAATACTAAACTTAGTACGGAATTATACCAATAAAAATAAAAACATCTGCTTTGAAGATAAGGATAGTGTTGAGAGATCAACTTCCAATCCGCTGCGTGAAATGATAAACAGATTCGGATTTCAAAACATACTTTCGCTTTGTAGATACAAATTACATATTAGTAAATATATATTGGAAATTCTATTTGACATTATCTTTCTAATCTATCATAATCTAATAATGACGTTTCTGCCCCCCCCCCTCTGCCGCAGAGCAACGTGAAATTGATAAACAGATTTCGGATTTCAAAACATACTTTCGCTTTGTAGTAAATATATATCGGAAATTCTATTTGACATCGAAAGTTCAAGCTTACTTTTATAAAATTGCTCTAACAGTCTGCAAAAAATAATAAGCCGGATCCAATTCGAAGATTAAGGAACAACGCAATCTGCAACATTAACTGAATTAGATAACTTTAGCTTAGCGTATAACTCCGTTACACATTAAACGCGCATGCGCACAAACATATTCGCAGCCGTAGGCGCTCTCGTAAACGCCTGTGCGCATGCGTGAACGTGACGCATGCGCAGAAAGTTTGTAGCTTTGAGGTCCGGATTATGGGTGTCCGAATTAACGACTTTTGACTGTATTATTTATTCCTACTTGCAGAAAAGCACCAGAAAATTACAGGAATAAAAAATTCATGTATGTCTTCAATATTAGATATTACTTTTATTTTTGCACAGAAACTATGTATGGGGGAGATGATAAAGCAATCTGACTCATTTAAAATACATTTTCATCCATATTAAATGTTATCAGGCAAGTGGATTTGCCTTCAATGACTCTATTCTGTTGATAATAAGTCATGCATATTGATATATTTTGTATCTTATTAGTAGCTGTGTAAATAATTTTTCACTCTGTATAATAGTAGCTATACAAAGAATTTTTCACTTTGTATAATACTAGCTGTAAAAATAATTTTTCACTTTGTATAAGTCTCATCTTTAATTTTTTTTATCTTTTGATAAAAATGTACAATTTATATTTCTGTATAAGTACTAAGTTTTTGACTTTTGAGACTTTAGTTAGATTTTATCTAACCCAAATTGCATAAAAAAATTACTAAAATTCTATTGCATAAGAAAATAATACATAATTTTATGCAATTTACAAAAATTAATTTTAATTTCAAAATTCAGATAGATTCATTTGAAGATGTAGTCCATGTGTTTTGGCAGTGATTAATTTGGTTATTTCTTTAATACTTACTGTAGTGGAATAAAATTATGTGTTCGAGCATGCTGGCACTAAACCAGTGCGAAAATATCAGACAGTAGAATTTAGGTGCAGCAAAAGTCTAAAAATTCAGAGACACACTTGATGGCAGAATTTAGTACCCACAAAAATTGTGCAAGGCCTTGGTGAATTCCTTTTCACCAAGGTTGAAAATGTTAATATAAACAAGTATGCATTGATTCAATGACCATAAAAAATTAAAAGCTTAAAGTAGTGAAATATTTACATATCATTCAGTACTTAATCCTTCTCTCAGTTTTGAATCTCAATATAATTCAAATCTTTGTATTAGTTTTTTAAGTAGATTTAAATTATATTCTTCTTTGTCCTTTCCCTAAAATAACAAGAGGTGCTATTTTTTAAATATACTTAAAATTCTACCCAACTAAAATGCACAATAATGTTGTGCTAAGTACAAATTCATGCACTTAAAAGAAATTAAAAGTATCCACATAAAATAAAATACTTATAAATTAAGTTTACATACCATTCAGTACTTATTTATTAATAGATATGCTATGAAGTATAAATTAAATCTTATTACCAACAGAATATTAAGATTATATAATAAGAAGGTACTTCTTTGTTATTTATTCACACCAGCTGCATATTTTGATACCTCACTATGTAATCATATATTAGCACCTTGTTGCATTTTTGCTATCGCCACGTGTTCTCATATTATTCATTTTTGATGAGGATTTCAAATTTGCATTGTTTATTTAAAAATATATTCATTTCTTTCTCTCTTTCTCTCTCTCTCTCTCTCTCTCTTTTTTTTTTTTTTTTTTTTTTTTTTTTTTAGGGAATTTGACATTAACAATCTTTGATTTACCAAGTAATTAGGTAGATGCCATATAATGTTTTCAAGAACAAGCTCTTTTACCTGACAAATGAGTATGCAAAAATGGCCACAACATGAAACTTTACGTTAATGATGAAACCATTTGGAGGTACAATGTTAAAAATTGGAAAAAGAAGAAGGAACTTTGTGTTGAAAATTGGTTCAGCGGTTCTAGAATATTGTTTAGCACTGCTATTAGATTTATGTATTCTTGGGCAGGGCAACTGACATCTATGAAATGGTGTAACACGCAGCTTAATATGCATGAAAGTGCAAAGTCCGGATTATAGATCATGACTGAAACTATTACATATGATAAAGTAATAAATATAAGGATTCATAAAAATATACTTAAGAAACAATATGTGAGTTATTATTGTTATTATTATATATTGTGTTGTTTATTCTTACATTCGCAATTCATGAGCTTGGCAAAATTATAGCTGAGATCTTGGTGCAAATCTAAAACTGCCAAATATGGTTGGGGGCTGCTATAACAAAAAAGTACCAATAAAAGACATAGAATACATTAATTTGTTATATAGTTCAACTAAAAGCAATTAAAACAGTAATATTATTTTTATAAATATTAAAAAAATATTTTTAATTTTTTGTCAACAAAATCAAGAAAAATCATATACTTGAGATCCTGCAGTTGGAAACTCGTGATCTTGCCCTCTACAGATTTGGCCATCACAGTCTCTTAAAACTTGAAACATAGAGAGGGTGCTGAATTCACCTGAAAAGAAAAATATTACTTTGAATTATCTGAAAATTTTTCAGATCTTTGTCCACTTAAAACGATACCATAATAGGAAATAAATAATTAAGAAATATACAATTATTAACAAATTACTCACACTAAATATAAAGAACCTTTTTCTAAAACTCTTTTTGAACATTATTCCATGTGAAAAATCTTCATTTACTGATGTCTATTAAATTGTCTATTAATTACTTGATGTCTATTAAATATGTGATTTAAAAATTTTTTTGGAATTATTTGTGACGATGCAACAAAAATAATTTCACTGAGTTGTGTCATTTGATACATATTTTTATTAAATAATCAGCTGAAATAATGAATACTTATAATCCATTTACATTATAATTTTAAGACCACAATATAACTTTTTCTTTTTAAGTATGAAAGTAAAATGAAAACAGAACATTGTATGATTTTAAGCATTTTGTTCGTTCAGTATAACTCAGAACACTACATAATGAAAAACCTATTTTATACTGATGTCAGAAATTTTTGTAAATTGAAAATAATGATACCATATGAACTATCAAACATTTTACCTAAATTATGCAATACTCATACTAGTATATGAAACATGAAGTGTATACTGTTATTATTAACTACTAATTATTTTTAATTTTTTATGATTTTAAAATATTTTTTAAATTTTAATTATATTTTTATTAACTGCTGTAAATTATTTTATAATGCAAAATGCAATATTACATGAAGCATAATTGTATTTATTAGAACTATCACGTACATAATATCATATACAGTCAAAAGTCGTTAATTCGGACTCGTCCGGACTTCGGCGATTCCGGATTATCGATTTTTCCGGATTATAGATCATCAGTTTAAATCTCGTAAGATGGCATGCAGAAATTCTAAAATTAAAAATATGAAACCGTAATTTATGAAATAAAGAACAATTATGATCTAAAGGGTATCAAAATTTGCAAAAAGAAAAAGCTTAATATTTATTTGTTTACTTTATTAAACATTTCTTCAATGTAAGTTGTTTAAGTTTTGCTTCGTTTCATGTGATAATACTTTCTCTTTTAATTCTATTAAACAGACATATTTCTTGTTCAGTTACAAAGTTCCGCCGTTCAAGTCCTATAATTGCTGTGTCAAGAACACCGACTAATTTGTCAATCGAAATTTTTTGTTTTCAATAACCTCTGTCACTTTTCTTCGCTATCGGAAGCGAATTATAAGACGAGGAACTTGTTTTAAATCATATCAAAGACGGAGCATATCGAGATGAAATACTACATTTGGTAAGGAATTATAACCAAATAAAATAAAACATCTGCGCTGAAGATAAGGATAGTGCTGACAAATCAACTTCCAATTCATTAGGCGCCCGCCGCCGAGTAGCGTGAAATTGATAAAAAGATTTCGGATTTCAAAAACATACTTCGCTTTAGATTCTTTACATATTAACAAATATATATCGGAAATTCTATTTGATATAATCGAAAGTTTAAGCTTACTTTTATAAAATTGCTCTTACAGTCTGCAAAAAATAATAAGCCGGATGCAATTCGAAAATTAAGGAACAACGCAATCATCAACATTAACTGAAATAGATAATTAGATAATTTTAGCTTATACGTCCATTATACATTAAATGCGCACGCGAAAACGTATTCTGCACTTGCGCACACTCATATGCGCAGTCGTAAAAGGTCTTACGCGCACGCCTGAACGCCTCTGCGCATGTGTCAACGTGGCGCATGCGCAGAAAGTTTTTAGTTTTGATGTCCGGATTATAGATCATTCCGAATTATGGGTGTCCGAATTAACGACTTTTGACTGTACACATATTTTTAAAAATATTTGATAAATATCTAAATGAAAAAATACATTATAAATTTAGTAAAAATTTATCTAAGTTTAAAACAAATACATAATTAATGGATAATATGAACACATAAATTCCAACAATTATTTAATATGATATATCTTACAATATGAGGTTTCCTTATACTTTTAATACCATAAAAGACACTGGCAATTTCTCTCATTTTTAAAATAATTTACATCTAGCCTACCTGCAACTTCACTTAATTCAAAATAAAATAGCCAAGACTTTTTTAAAAGAACTCCTTTCACACACCTGATGCTGATAGCTGATTCAGCAACTCCTTTCCACGACTGAGTCTCTCAGTAGCACTTTCATTTGGCTTCCCATATGCTTCAGCAAAATTAAAGTCTCCTTGTGATGGATCCCAAAACCCATTTGATTGAGCACACTCCTTCAAATCCTTACTCATCAGATCAATTTTTGTCCCTATTGTAAGGCAGTTTGAAATATTTCTACAGCCACCTAAAATAAAGTTTCCATACATTTAAAATTCATAAAGAAAAAATATAATGAGATATAAATAACATAAAGAACACACACACACACACCACACAAAAACAAAAAAAACAAAAAAACAAAAAAACAAAAAAAGCCCTTAAATGATTTAGACTTTATCACACCACAATCTTTGCTCAGGTTTGCTCTTGGGGAGCTCACAATTTATCTATCTGTTCTTGGAATCACTGCTGATGACATATTTTTTCTCTTGATTATTAAACACCACTTTTTTCACATTTACACTACATAAAATTAAACAGCAAGATCATAAAAGTTTAAAAAACAACATAACTTTAGAATTCCAAATACAGTGTTTCCATAAATATGTTTCCAATAGTTTCCTCATATATATTTAGTCCAGAAGGACTTTTGCTCTCAAACTTCACTTTCGTTGTTTATTTCATTGTCAGATAACTAGCTGCCTAAAACAGTTATAAAAAAGAATATATATATATATATATATATATATATAATGCTTTTAATAAATCCAGCTAGTGTAATTTTCATAGGTCCACGTGGTTACTAATAAAATGATAAAGAACTCTATTTATTGCTCTTAAATTGTTTAGTTTATTAATCAATAACAGGCAGATTAAAATTAAAAGAAAATTGGTAAAATCCTAGTATATGGTATGGCCTTGGTGCAATTTTGAAAATTGTCACCAACACTAAAAGGACGTTTTTGAACCCATCCAATTTATCACCAGTCACCAAATCCTGTGTGTACCATTTGCTGGAATCAGACTAGAAAAATATCTTAAGATCTTTGAAACATGGCAGCAAACTGGCATGTGGAAGTTAAAAATAATTTATATCAGATATCTTTAGAGTTTCCTAATAAAGTGTTAAATGATGGCATACATTTTTTTATATTTGCTATATTATTTGTTTAAAAATAATATAATATAGGGATAACATTTAATAGCATTATTCTTTTATTTGTGTTGCCATATATTTTTTTACATACACTACATTATTCCTTTGAAATTAATACACAGCAATAACATTTTGTGGCATTATTTGAAAAGAGATATGGACAAAAAGTAAAGTTGAGATTAAAAGGAGCTCTGAGGATAATTAATCAAAAAGATTGTAAAAATTACTATCTGCTACTAGACTTCCAATTTTAACCATAGAGGTAAACAATATTTTAATTTACACAATATTTATGCAAATAGCACAATATTTATACATATAGCGTATTATTTATCCTAACATAATATTTATGCAAATAGCAAAGTAAATATAAATCACTGCTTCGTTCTGTTTATTAGGAAAATGTCTTTAAAGATGGATATTAAATATGGTTTCATTAGATTGCTGCTATGTAATGATACCAGACTGCAGAACTCAAATGAGATAATTAATTTTTAGTTTTTAAATGTTAATAACCGATATCAAATTTTTACTTATAATTACTGTAAAGGCCCTTATTTTCGTGAGCCGTAATTTTCGCGAAAATGAATATATCGGTGATTTTGCAAGCTGAAAATTTCACAAATTTTATATGAACAGAACCGAAAGTTGAAAAATTTCAAAAGTACCTAAGTAAAGTTTAGAAAGTTGAAAAAAAAAAAAGTATTTCGCGAGGCTTAAATTTCCGCGATTACGATCCCTACTAAAAATGCCCCATAGAAACCAGTAAAACTTTTTATGGGTACCCATAAGATTTTATGGGTTTTTATTGACTTTTACTGGTTTCTGTTGGTCTCTGTAGGTTTTTTTTACTGGTTTCAAAATGACCCATAGAAACCAGTAAAACTTTCTACTGGTACCTATAGAATTTTTGATGGTCTCTATTGACTTTTACTGGTTTCTATTGATCTTTGTGGGTTTTCTTACTGGTATCAATTGACACCCATACAACCAACATCAATGGCAGAACTTTGTACTGGTTTGTATAGGTTTATATTGACTTTTGCTGGTTTCTTATGGTATCAATATAAGAATAAATATTCTGTTGGTTATATGGTTTTGTGCTATTTTTTTATCTGATTAATATACTTCTTGTAAACAATAAAATTAACATAATGAAATATGATCTCTTTAAGACCACCAGAGTAACCTGTAAACGCAGGTGGTCGTTTTAGAGAGGGTTTTTACTAAATATGCTATTTTTTTTTATTTAAATTTTTTTCGGAAACATAACAGTAATCATATACACCACACACAACGAGGTCTCTCCAAGGCGACCAGCCGCAAATAAAATTCATCTTTGCAAGTGGTCGCCTTAGAGAGGTGATGCTCATACCAATAGATGCTCACGTTCTCAGAGATACGTTTATCTTTTAGAGGTGGTTCGTCTTAGGGAGATTGCATCTACGAATGGAATCTTTCTAAGGCGACCAGACACTTGCAGAATTTTCTTTGTGAATGGTCACCTTACAGAGGGAATATTCAATACCAAAGTATACTTATGTTTTCAAATACTGGTCTCTTTCAGAGGCGGTCGTCTTAGGGAGGTGGTTTTTGCTACGAGTTGGTTCTCTGAATACACACACATAAGCACTTACATTTCTGATATTACAATAAACAACCGGTATCAACCAACATCTCTTTAACGCGCAAGTTCATTCACAATCGCAAAACTTTTCTCCCTGTTAACGCTGACGTGAAGAAAAAATTCCCCCTCCCTCCCCCACTGTCAGAAGTTTCCCAAACAAGCAATATGGCACCGCTCTAGTTATTGTTGTGATGGTGGTGTTATTTTCTTCGTTGTAGTAATGCAATATATTATTTACTAGGATTTCCTGTATTACAATTTTACTATGTTTACTGTTTGAAATTAGTAATAAATAATAAAATACCAGCACTGACCATGAATATACCACTAAAGCCATGCACGGTAATCGTGTCTAATGTTTGAGAACGTTGCTGATAACTGACTAGTTGTGAAATGGAGTTTCTGAGCGTGAAATTGATTTTCCATCTTTACTTTTATCCTGAAAAACAATGTGCTTAAAGACTGAAAAGTGATAATTTCAGGCTTGATAATTTGTTTCAGTGTGCAGATATGCAGAAATGTAGTTTTTGCATTCTACTGAAACTGTATTTTGGAAAATTTATGTTTTTGATTACAGTTTAGAAATACTTTTTTAAAGCTTGTTCATGTAGATGCTTTATCATTTGAATATTATGTACTAATAAATTTGAGCATACCTTACTTAAAAATGATCTTGCATGATTCAATTTGAATTTTTCGACTAATATGATGTGGCCGAGCAAAAAGAATGTTTTTTTATGTTTTTAAAAAATACTAATTATATTTTGCGAGCAAAAAATGTAAGTTTTATAATGAATAACATTGAATATTTAATGTGTTTATTACTTATTGAATGGGTAGACAAGACATACAAGCTTAAGGAATCTTTTTTCCACTACTAAAATTATTTGAAAATTTAGATGATCATAGTTAGCTTAGATTGTTTTTTTCTTTTTGGTCTATTTTTCTTTACAAGTATGAGACTAGAACCACATTTTTACATTAAATATTTGTGCTATTTTGTTAAAACCATATAATCATTTTTATGCATACTTTAATTTTCATTATTTCAGTTTGATGAAGAAAATTTCAAATGTGTTTTCATGAATTGCTTTTGAATAGAAATAGATTTGTGAATAATTTATGTAATAAATGTACTAGTCTTGGGAGTATAAAACGTGAATTATTTATTTGAAAAAAATTACATTTAAGTGAAACCTCATATAGTGGTTTTTTCTTAATGACCACCTCTGATAATGGCACCTTTGTCATGACAATAATTAAATAACAGGACTTAAAATCATTCATTTTTGTTAGGCTACAGGAAACTGCATTATCTTGAATTGTGGAGTTGATTGTTTTAGGAACGTTTTGCTGTATAATCAATTGATTCGGTGTAGTAATTTTTACGTGGTATGATTTTGCAGAAGTAATTGAAAGTTTTTACAGACATTAAAACCAAAGCTTTCAGATCATGAGTCTTATAAGGGCACTGTTATAGCAAAATATAGTTAGAGTTTAAACATTATTTTCGGATCACTTCCACAGATCCGGTTGTTCTCTGCGGATAAAACTCATATAAATAATCTTGTACAGCCTTATACAAAGGAGTTAAAATACTATTATTACAACTGCGAAATAGCCACATTTGTTTACAAAAAGTTATTATTGCTAAATACTTGCACTATACAATTTCATTAGCATTGGAATTTCAGAAAATCTCAGCATGAGTATTTTTATATATAATCTACTGTCAAAAACAATAGCTACCTTTTCATACTTTAAATTTTACTACTGAATTTTTTGGTTCAAATAATATTTCTATACATTATTTCAAGTATTTTCTATAATAGAAATCTAAATAACTTGCACCTAAACACTGACTCAAATTTATTCCAATAATGTCGCTTTAATTAAATTTATGTTCCCTTGAGATATAAAAAACCTAATAATAAATTTTAATATATAGGTTAAATAGTTTTTATATATTTTTCGGATAAAGTGCAGATCGCCCACTTATTGGCCACTTTGTACAAAGTAAAAGGAATTGGATTTTTGGCAATTCTTTGACTTTTAATGAAAAAGTCGGTCGATGTGTACTGGATACGATTATTGCAATTCTTAAAAACACGCCAAGCAGTGGCGATTACACTTCCCCATTTCTATAGGATTTAGTTCATTAAATTAGTTTTAGTATAATTATGTATATGAGTATATTCATCTTATCACAGATGGAATTTTTACAGTACGAAAGTTTATCTTTTTTACATCAAGAACTACATATATAAATACCCATTATAGATTTTATTTACATAAATCTGTGGGAGATTATATAGCACTAAAAGTGAGATACGGAATAAAACATACGCTATGAGATATTTTCTTAATTCCCGAACTGCGCGTTGAGAATTGGTATTGTTGAAACTTGGTAAATTTTTTTAAATTCATTTGTTACAATATAATTTATTGTATTTTGGGTACTATTAAGTTTATTATATGTTATCTTCATGTTTCATTTATCTTTTGAGAGATACAGGTACATTCAAAGTATTGTAATAAGGGGTCGCACAGTGTTTGTATATTATTATTTCTTCACTACATTATATTCTTGGATTCATCCTTTCTTCCACGCAAAACATCTATGTGTATGCATGTCATAATAAGCTGCAGGGTGTTACTATCATTGGTAAGCGAGCTTTAAGGGATAGCAGTATGCTAAATTTGAACTCTATGTTAAGTTTCTAATTTGCAAGTCCCGTATTCCTTTTTGCTTGCCTTGTTAATATGTTTCTCTTCCTGAAAATTTGGGTTCTTCTAGTTTGTTTTTTAATTTGGGTTTAGTGCATTGTAGGTAACTTAAAATTTAAGCAGATGCTAGAAGTACCATCCTTTGGCAATACATTTCTCATTAGGTATCAAATTGTTAAACAAGCTGATGTGATTAAATACATTGTTTAATTTCCCAATTAAAGAACTGAAATACAAATATATGCAGTGAGGTACAGTACTATAGTATATTTATAATGAAATCAATAATATATATACAGTCAAAGTAATGATCCGCAACCATCAAATGAAATGATATTATATATATATGTAATAGATATAAGCAGCTGAATCCGTAATGAACAGCAAGAATTTTGATGGCTTAGAGATGTTGAAACTCCAATCCACAATGAATAAGAAATTTGGCAGTCGAGGTAGATTTAATTCAACTTTTCTTTCAGCAAATGTTGCAGCCACAAACAAGTTGGCACATTATTTATGCCTATTCCAAAAATTAACATTTTTGATAAATGTGTAGTAAGAAACAAGGAGCAGCAGACTGCAATCCAGCTAATACAAGCATAAAAAGCAAATGCGTTACATTAAGGGTGAAATCTTAATTCAGACCGAGTTAATTTTGGTTCTCGATGCATTTTTACTCGTCTTTGATAGTTAATACTGCTGTAAAAATTACTATTGGCTGTTTGAGTTTTAGTTTCTTTTACAACATCAAATTATGTAAGAGTCATATGACATGAATTAATCTCCAAATGTTGCAGTGCAGAAAGATTACTGTTTTTAGAATAGAGAAGGAAAATTAATTTTACGCTGCTAATTTAATCTTTTGCATATTCCTTATTTTTCTTACATATATATATGTACATATATCATTCGATGGTTGTGAATCATGACTTTGGTTATTATCTTTCTATTCATTTTATTTTTCAGAATTATATAAAGGTAGTTTAAAATTTTGTAAAGAGAATTTTATACAAATATTTTGTAATATGTTTATAGATATTGACATGCATTAAGAAGGACGGGCTCGTAGGCCTCTAGATATTTTAAAATTTTTATTTATTCGCATTGAGTTTTATTTAAAATTACTTTACATGCTTTCTCTGCCATTTAGTTCTGTACATTTCATCAGTGCTAATTATGTACTTTCTGCTGGTTTATGTTTTTATGGAAATTTGATTTACAGTTCTATTTTTGTGTATTGTTTTTTATAGGGATTCTTGTATATGGATACCCTCTTCTATGTACGATTCTATGTATGGATTACTCCGCTATGGTATAATTCTATTGGGTTCTTTGTTTATGGGTTTTGTGCAGCAATTTTTCCAAGAGGTACCTTTATTGGTCTGTGGAATTTTTGTGTAGTGGTTTTTACAGGATTTGGCCTATGGATGCCTGTATAGGTGTACGTGCTTTTTGTCTACTGGTTTTTGCGAGGCATAGACCTACGGAATATCCATTTTTTTAATGGAAATTTTGACCAATGGATGGATATGCATTTAAAGTTATGATTTCTTGGCTATGGGTTTTTTACTGGGATTTTGTTTATAGTGCCTACAGTTCTACAGAGATTTGGCCTACTCGGAACCGTACAGTCGTACGGGTTTCTGTTTACAGGTTTTTTACGGGTATTTCACCTACAGGTACCTATACAGCCGTGCAGGTTTCTTTCTATGGGTTTTTATGGGTATTCAGCCTATGGGTACCCGTACAAACGTACAGGTTTCTTTTTATGGGTTTTTACGGGTATTTGGCCTACGGGTACCCGTACAACCGTACGGGTTTCTTTCTATGGGTTTTTACGGGGATTTGGCCTACGGGTACCCCGTACGGTTTTCTTTCTATGGGTTTTTACGGGGATTTGGCCTACGGGTACCCGTACAGTTGTATGGGTTTTCTGTCTGTGGGTTTTTTACGGGGATTTGGCCTACGGGTACCCACAGAGCTGTACGGGTACCCGTAGGCCAATTCCCCGTAAAAAAATTTTATGGGTTTCTACGGGGCATTTTTAGCAGGGATGCGCTCGCGAAAATTAAAGCCTTGCAAAAATAAGGGCCTTTACAGTATTTGTGGTTTTTATGTAGTTATTTTATAGGTCCGGTAAAAAGGGCAATCCCAATTTACTTTCACCTATAAAATTCTGTTTAAGAGCTGTTAATTAAAAATTAATTCATTAGAATTAAAATGCACTACATTATCTTTTATCATAACAAAGAAACATGGGAAAATTGCCACCTAGCTAATTTACACAAGCTTATTCTTTAGGTGAATACAGTAATAGATTCTTGCAGTGATATCATACTTTACACAATTCATAAATGATGGTTAAGTCAGGATAAAAATAACTGGCTAACTTAATATAAATAATGATACAACTTTTTCAAATTTACAATGCATAGTATCATTTGTACCAAAAATAATACATATTTCAGGCAAAAATAAAACAACTAATAAATGCATTTAGAGTTTAATTCAATTGTTCAGTACTTTGATTTGCATCATTTAAATAGTATCTGCTTTCTCACAGCCATGAATGAAAATGTTTTATATAACAAAATTTATAATTACATAAAAATAAATTTTCCAGGAGGTCAGCATCATTTTGGAAATAAACAGAATACAGTCAGTTTGTGTTACCCCCCCCTGAAAAAAAGTTGAATATAGGATATTTTATTTATAAGAAAGAAATTTAAATTAAATGCTGCAACAAAATTAATTTACCAAGGTTCTGAGGATGCCCATTATCTGAAATCCTTCTCAAACCAATTTTGCTAATGTAAAGTAAATGTAGATGTGTATTCATGACAAGTTTATAAGAAAAAAATCTTTATTTTAAAGTACAATCTACACAATGAAAATACATAAACAATATAGACCACTTAAAGTTCCAAGAAATGCCAAGAAATCCTATTAATATAAATACATAATGTGCTATTAACTAAAAATAAATATACTAACTAGTTACATGTTCAGCAGCCCATAGACTTCCTGCAGTTTCCAAAACCCAAGCTTCTTTACTGTCTGCTATTAAGAAACTGTTATGGTATGTAAAGTCAGGACTAGAATCAGAACAGGGACCTCCTTGACCATGTTCTTCCAGAAGACTGCTGATAATATCAACAGCTTCTTTAGCACTACTAGAACGTTCTAAACCTAACCTAGACAAGCAAGGGAAAGGGTAAAATTAAAATTCAGTCACTACAGAAAGCTTTTATAAAATTAATTTTCAACATAAAATGACATTTTCTATGTAATGCATTTATTAAAGTGGATCTGCTATTAGTTTACATATATTAATTGAAAATTAAAAAAATAATATGGATAGGATAAATAATATCTGCTATTAAAAAAGTCGTTAAAACATGCTAAACAAGCTGATTTTCTACAACAGTCTCAAATTTTTACATGCAGTCCTGAATTTTTTTAAAGGAATCTAATACATAAATGTATTTTAGATTTCCTTAAGCTGGCAAGACTTGTCTTAGTTTATCAACTATTTTTACAATTTGAAAATAAATATTGCATACATTCGTGAATACTTTTTTTTACTGGCACTAATTAAATATTAATATAAATCATACACTGAAGTGATTCTATATCTAAGCAACAAAATCTTCTGAAAACGTATATGATCTTAAAATATGATAACTGAATAGAAAATAGCTGGTGCTATATATATTCTCTTTCAAATTTAGAAAAAATATAATATATTTGAAACTACTACATGTGATATACAATATACTTCAATTTCTCTGTTATACATACACATATATGATCTTTTCCCCAGTTATTTCAGTTTCTTGCATATATTATTTTTGTCACATGTATGTACACTGAGAAACAAAACTAACTGAAATAGACATATGAGTTTAGTTTACTGGATAAAAATTTTACCTAACAAGATCCATGCCAAGGAGCTTTTCTTCAGCATCACCGGGACCATTTAATTTTGTCCATACAGCTTCATTACCAATACAAACTCCAGCATCATTGGCTCCCATTTCTGCACCCCACATCCAAGCTGGTTTACTCAAAATTACAGCATGAGTGTGCTCTGCTTGATCCACAGCAATATAAGTGCACTAAAGAAATTATTAATAGCATAAAAAAATACAGCCAATCTTGAGTGGACCTACAGAAGTACTTTTCTGCATCAGTACAAAAAAGGCGTATATAATTTAGATAATGCATAGAGAGCATTTAAATACATTCAAGAATATTATGATCAAGTTTAAACTATAACTATACATATTTCTGTTCATCATATCATAATCTTTCCCATAAAATTAATCCTGCTTAACAAATTTTCTGTTCAGAAGAATTTGAAAGTAGTACAGCAAAAAGGATGTAAAATGTAATAGTATTTTGGATACTTCCAGATAATCTGCATTCCAACTGAAAAACCACAAAAAAGTATTGATGATGCAACATGTTGCCAAAAAGTTTTTATAAAGTACTCGTATATACATAGCACTCCTATGCTTGAGTACATATAGATTTGTTAGCACTTATGAAACTCAACAGTCATTTTTTTTTATTTTTATTATTTCCTCTGCACTGCATGCATTTTCTTTCCTTACAATGAATATTAATGGAACAGTGGATTTTATTTTCATTACATTGAAGTTGCAACTGTTTTTAGGTGATCATGATTCTGTCCGATGCATAATACTGAGGCTGCATGTGATGTGTATTATTCGTACAATGCTCTGATTTTCTTGGTGAAAAAACATTGCTGGGTAGATTGGGAGGACAACGGAGCAAAAAAAATGCTGCAGGATTTTATCAAAAAAGGTAAAAACATGTTATATTTAATAATAATAATAATAATAATAAAAAGATGGAACTGGATCCTTCAGTGAAACAGATGTAAAAATACCTAAACAAATGTTCTCTTAAGTTGGTAACAAATTTGAGAATGCTCTCTGAAGTCCACAGTGTGTTTGTGACTTTTCGGTGAGGATGCAGATAATCAAAAAGTATCATGTTTGGTAACAAAAACCTTATGCTCTATATCTAAATAATGCTGTATTAACTCTATATCTCACAGTTAAATGCTGCTGTAAAATCACTACTTTACATTTGTCTTTCAGTTTACAATGGCTCCCAAAAGTATTTGTGCACTTATGATTTTCATTGAAATATGGCTCTATCTATTAATTAAAAGTAAACTTTCTGAATGAGATTTTAATAATAAGATCTATACTCTATTCATAACAAAATTACACAAAATATTTTTTAGGTGTAACTGCATTGTGATACATTAGTTTGCAAATTTTATATCATTTTTTAAAACATGTTCAAGTTTATGGAAAACCTGCATATTTGCACTCAAAATTATAATTTAGTTCTACTGAAATTTTGGTAAAAATTGCATTCACATTTAAGCAGAAGAGAATACATTATATTCAACTCATTAACAGATGAATTTTTCAAAATTATTTTAATGGGATAATTGTAATTTCATAGAAAATGCATTTGATACAAGATGTTATGGAGTATGCTGAAGAAAAAGAACTTCATTTAATTCATTAAAAACGTACATTTATTTTATCAAAACTACTGAAGTACAAACCTGCACTTTTGAACCAGCAGGATGATTTTCTGCAGGAAAATAAACTACCTCTTGCACTTCTCCTTTTGGTCTATCAGAATTCTTCCCAAAAACAACACAGTTAAGAGCTGTGCCAGGGGGCAAAACAACAAAAGTATCACATGACTGAGGATCTGTACTGGCAAATTTTGAAATTTCCTTCGGCATCCTTAATTCTGCAATGAATATGATGAATTACTTATTTGATAAATAAAACGGCATGAGATAAAAATATTATAAACATGCATTATATTCTTATTATGATATATTAATAACATGAAATTTGTGGTTATAGGAAACTACTGTACTAAAGAAGCTCTGCCTTTAAAATCTAAAGTACACATTAACCATTACATCAAAAAAATATAAAACAAATTTGGAAAATTTAGAAAATTAAAAAAATATATTCACATGTACTTATTTATTTTAATTTAATTTCAGTAAATATTAATGTTTACTGAATTATGTGTATATTAATGCAAGTAAATCATATTAAATCATTAATATTTAACGTAATTATGTAAATATTAATGTAAGTAAATCATATTCATTTTTCTAAGTGAAATCTAAGATATGTAAAGTTTCTGAATGTTTATAAGAATAATCATAATGTACTGCTGTATTAAAAAATTATTTAAACACAATGAAACATAAAACAATCCTGAATAATATTTAGATATTTTCTGATACTATATTAATAAAAATTATTAATCAAATAACATAAATCTCTATTTATATATTTAAACGATCTATTAAAAAACGAGGGAGAGAAAATAATCCAAACTATTTATTTATAAATCACGAAGCATGAAAATTTTTTAAAGCTGGGCTGCAACTATCAGTTCCCGAAGCAAAAAAAAAAACCCACAGACTTGTGCTTCCGTCATCGCATAGTTTCAAAAACGTTCTTATGACGTCAATTAGGGGCTCGACATGAACAGGCTTTGAAGATCATATAAATGGATGGTAGCCAAAAACGCGAGTGAAGAATACAGAACCCGACGAATAAAGGTTCGCAGCAAGAAAAAACAGCAGGCGTCGCCAATATCTAATGTGAGAAAATAAATCCATTTGTCCGTTTACTTAAATTTTTAACAAGAGTTAGATTTCGCGGTATTAGCACATTTCGACATAAAGCCCAGTGCTAAACCCAAGTATTAGATTTAAAACGAATTAAGATTACTTATATGTAACAATATAGATTTCGTAATAAACCACAAAGACAATGTCAAATGACAATGCAGATTATCTTATAAGATTACGCAAGCTTTAAACTGTTGATTTTTGCTTTACACACATGCAAGGACAGTCCTGGTGCGGTTGCAAAGGGCGGCAAAATTTTTAGAATCTAGAGAAGTACACAGCTGCAAAATTTTAAGGATACATACCCGAAGGCAAAATTTCTAGAATCTAGGGGGAAAACTGCGCAGTAGTACTTAGGGGCGCCAAAATTCTTAGAATTTAAGGAGCCACTAGGCAGCAGATTTTACGTTTAGTTTATCACACTAGGGGTTTAGCAAATCACACTAGGGCTATCTAGCTAAGGGGAAAGATGCCTTCGTGGAGGATTTTCTAAGGGAAACTGGCTCGTATACACGTTATACATGGGGAAAACCACGAAAACACCCATGCAGCCAGCCCGTTCGCCTGAATTCGAACCCAGTTCGCAACAACCAGTGTTCGTCGATTTTTACGACTCGGCCACTGGCGCCCGGCAGATTTTAGGAATCTCAGAAATTGCACTGGACGGCAAATTGCCACACGCCAGCCCTGCATACAAGACTTCAAAAACAGTTTAAAAAGCTAAATAAATACAAATAAAAAGACAGCTTTGATTTAATTATTTAATGCGTTTACAAAATGCGTTTTTTACAAGCAAGCTTGAGCTTTCATATATCAAGAATTAAAAAGCAAAACGAGAAATAACATATATATCAAGAAAAGCGAATAACTCAAACAAAAAATTCTAAACTGCCATACTTAGTACTGGTATATTACTTATGGCAAGTACTGGTATATTACTTGCCATAAGTAATATACCAGTACGCAAATTTGCCTTAGATTATTTATATATTAGTCGTTCCGTCAATCGTCAAAACACTAAACAAAATTTTTATTATTCTTCCAAAATTTGTTACAGTCTATCAACACAATTCTACCACTTGATACAAAATATATACCCATCAGTGGCGTAGCTAGGGTGGGGCAAGGGGGGACATCTGTCCCCGGGCGCAGCATCCAAAGGGCGAAAAATTCATGCTACAAAATTATTTAATGAAACGTTTTCTACTTTTGGCACACAGAAAGGGGCGCAAATTCTTCAGTTGTCCCCGGGCGCTGGAAACTCTAGCTACGCCCCTGATACCCATTTACCTTTCCATATGAGGTATAGTTCCAGCTTGAAAAACTTGAGCTGAATTCTCCATTTTGATACCAGCATTCACGAAACGGCATTTTGCGTCGAATCCTTATAACAGCCAGTATCACTTTTCAGATTGCTCCCACCAACTATTATCGCTCTGTATTATATTTGAAGAAATTAAATAACGAAGAATCTCCATGAATGTATGCATATTTCTTCGAATGTTAAAACAACGGTACAGCCGTCAAATTTTGAATAAGGTAGTCCTCCACTCGAGCATGGGCAGCTGAAAGCCCAAATTTTAAATTTCGAATTTCTTTTATTATATATTTCATATTTTATAAAACTTTAATGAGTTTTTTAATAACAAATTCAACGATTTCAAAGCATGCAATGGCAATGCAGTACAGAATGAAATATTTTTATCGCCAGCGCGCGATACTGTCTATCGGAAATTCTAAAGATACGCTGTTTTTAAATTCTATTTTATGATTTTATCGTTTGATCGAATTTTATGTGGCGTAAGCGCTAAGAACGTGATATTTAATTAATAAAGTAAACACACAAAACGTTAATAATTTTTTTTTTCAAAGCCATTTCAGTAACAAAACTGAATATTGATATGATGAACTGAGAAAAGACTGAAAAAAGGTAGAAAAGTATATGCCGACATTTAATGCTGCATCGCAAATTCTAAACGTATACTGCTATGCTGCTTTTAAAATTTTTGTAATTTTGCTGTTGAGTTGTGTATGGTGGAAGTCCGAAGGAAATAATACTTAATAATAAAGCTAAAAAGACCGAAAGAAAAAAGGTTAGTAGGAGCGAATGCAGCAGCAGAGTAGTAGACTGCGAGCTCAGCGAGAGCGTAAAAACCTTACCAAACCCTTTTGGGCGACAGACAAAATCTGAAACCTTTCAGACTTTTTAATGTTTACGTTAAACTTCTTTCTTTGTTTGCTATTATGTTGCGAAAAGCTATTTTAATGTCACAATAATCCACTTCTTTTTAGATGAATCTCTCCATTTCAGATCATCTAGAACAGCTGTTTTGAGTTAACGTTTTTGGGCTACCGTTAAAACTGAAATCTTTAAGATTTTATTAAAAACACTTTTTTTTAAAATTAGTATTTACTTCTTTAAACTGATTTGTGCAACAACAAAATTATATTAAAAGAAGCAAAATTACCGGCATCTGAACATAAGTGATATTCACAATGCCTAAGAACAAATTTCATGGATATGTTTTCCACAAGGTGATAAATATTGTAACTATTGACGTACCATGGTAAGCAGCAATGGATTACCATTAAGGGAACAAGATTTTTCGCAAGTTTTTCGTTATACGTCAACAAACATGAAAGAATCGTTGCATTAATAAACTATAATAAAAATTTAAAAGCTGCACCTAAACATGCATATATTTTACGGTGATATCAAGCACATTTTCCTTGCCATATATGATCAAACTTTCGCATCTTAAGTTTTGGACTATGGCAATAATCTTTTATTTTTAATCAAAATTGTAAATTATTCTTAATAATTATTTCATAGACATAGTTAAACTTTTAGATGTCCAATCGAACACTTTCATTTACTCGATGATCTCGAGTATCGAGTAATGATGATGTCTAGCACTCAAATGAAATCGAGTAAATGAAATTCAGTGGCGTAGCTAGGGTGGGGCAAGGCGGGACATCTGTCCCCGGGCGCAGCATTCAGGGGGCGCCAAATTGATGTTACGAAGTTTTAGAATGAAAATTTTCCGTTCTTGGCACAGAGAAAGGGGCGCAAAATCTTCAGTTGTCACCGGGCACTGAAAACCCTAGCTACGCCTTTGATGAAATTTAACGCTTTAAACGTATTCATTTTAGAAGCAGTTAAACACTATGTATATAAAGAATGACCAAGTCGATCTCGATCGACCTGCCGACCGCAAAGCGATTTTTAGTTGATCAAAGTCGGCAGAAGACGAAAGCACGGAAAAGCAACTTAATGTCGTGACTCATAGAAACAAACGGTCATGGTTAATATATTAAGTATCATAGTGGTAACCCTGTATTAGTGTTTCTAGAAAAAGTTTCATTTTTTTTAACACTGTTGCTGTTAAAAAAAGGTACATACTTTCATGTATACTATTTTTACATTTTAATACCAATAACATTAGTAATAAAGTAAAAATATGGAAGGCAACGTTTTCATGAAGAATACGAACTTGATTACTCTTTTACATTTATGAGTGATAAATGTTGTTGCTTAATATACGGTGTATCTGGAGCTGGTACTGAAAAAGGCAATTTAAAGAGGCATTATTTACATTTACATAAATAGCAAACATATTTATTCACAAAATTGTGATACGTGTATAAGTAAAATTAAGAAAGAATTTGACAAAATGTTTTTAAAACCTCATGCTGCATCAAGTGCAATGAGTATTGCATCTTTCAAAGTAAGCCTTATTTTAATTTAAAAAATGTAAAAAAGAAACTTTTTGAAAATGTCATATTCACATTTTAACGATTTTAAGGACAATACTGAAATTATTACTGCAATTTAAGATTTTCATTTGTCTCAAAATATTGTGATGCAGTAGATTTAGAAACTGACTGAAAAATATAAGAAAAAAATTATGATATTAACAGATGTTCTTGTTTCCCCTTCAGTTTGATGAATCGAAAGATAAAAGTGACATAGCACAACTGCGTTTTTATTCACATGGTTTCTCAAGATTATATATCTAAAGGAGAATTGTTGGGTGTGGTTTCTTTAAAAGAAAGGATTAGAGAATGTAGATACTATGTTCAACATTTTTTAAAACTTTCTCATTAATTTGAAACTGCCATT